AAAGGATCGGCAAATTTGATTTTGATTACAATTGCCTTTTGTTTAATTGTTTGTTTGTTTTTTTGGCGGGTCAGTCGGGGCAGTTTTTAGATCTTTTACGGCTTGTAACTAGTGGAATTGGTATCAGAAATTCCCTAATCTCCCGTAATTTTTTCTCGAATTAAGGCTAGTTAAGCCAGATGATAAAATGTTCCGACTCGGGTCGACCCCAATCGCAGTTCGATTTGAGTTGGCCCAAATCAAAATAAGCTCAGAGTGATGTTTATTCGATAGTCACATAATTTATACACAACGGTTGGTCATTTATGTATAAACGGGAGGATATACATTTTTTGAGAATAGTAAATCCTTTATTTCAGAAAACGAACGATATTTAACAACTGACTACATGTTGTTCACTTCTTACACAAACACTCTTGTTGAACAGTCTTTGACTATGTGTTTGACCTTCACTATTAACTAGCGCTAAACGTCTCGCCACTTCAGTCAGCGAGACAGTCGTATTTTGTATGTCTTCCAACTCATGAAGTCTACTAGCTCAAGGTCAGCCATTTAACTTTTTACAAACTCCAACACTTACATGGGTTTTGCTGATACTAGAGTTAGCATAGGTCGTCGACTTGTGCAATGCTACATGCATGAAAGTTGGAGCTCATGAAATGCCAGCATGTTGTAAATCGTCATGTATAGCACAAATATATCATACGTATTCTCTTTAACACACACGGTTTTTTCTTTAGTAATAGTTGTTTCACTTCGCCAATATCCATTACAGTGAACTTCGGATTTGCACCCATATTTGAACCATCAAAATTTTCGATTGCCTGGTTTGCAATTTCTCGAATCAGAACAACTTTGATATGGCAATTAGGTGACTCCACCAGTTTATCAATTAGCACGAGAGATAAAGGTAAGTCATACGATCGATATGATTTAAAAATTTATCATCATAAAGTGATTAAAACATATGTTCTTAAAACGCTAACAATAAATTTACCGAAACTGCTATCAAATCGTCTGACTACCATAAATGACCGAAACGTTCAGTTAATCATAACAGCACCACCAGTCAACCTATAAAAGATTAACAAGTACCTTCATCACGCAGAATCTTTACATGGACTTTTTAGCCACAGACTTTAGTAGTATTTGTTTCTCCCATAATAAGCGTGTAGTAGAGTATGCGATACCGGTTACAACCGTTGTGCATAAATTATGTGACAAAGTCGAAATAAATATCACTCTGAACTTATTTTGATCTGGGCCAACCCACATCCCAATTGCGATTTGGGTCAGAACAACAATAATAATAAGGAAGAAAATTCTTTTGATTTTCGACCTTGAATTAGAATTGACAGTTTAGCCCTCCTCATTTACTTCTTTATTTACCTACCAACAGAAGAATTAAATTAACCCAGTCCCAATTACAATCTACTCAAACCGAAACTCAATCTAAGGAAGATAATCAAGAATTAGAAAACACCTTGGACCAACTAATTAAAAACATTCAAAGCCATCCGTTCCGCAGAATTGCTTCGATAATCTGAAGATTCGTTATTCCGAAAGCAATGTAATATAATTCACGTGATTTTAGTTAACAAATAAAAAATTATCAGATCTTAGCATAATACATAGTCAACCTCGTTAATCCGAAGTCAACGGGACCGAGGCTTAAGTTCGGATTAACGGCATCTTTGGATTAACGAGGTTTGTTCTCAATAATCCAAACTTGCTATTGAATTCAATAATTATTCGGTTTACAGCATAAGCCTTTATTATTGTTTAGTACAACGTACACAAAATGGTTCTACACGCTTCCACTTGCTAACATCTGATTATGTCATCTCGCTTTGAGGTGCGAAAAACCGTCAAGATGTAATTGTCACTTACTTTGTATTTCAAGTACTTTAATCATTCTCTAAGATCGACTACAAGGTGGTAATTGATGTCGAATTTTGTCTAATAAAAATATTATTGGTTAATGCAAGCGAAGCTGGACTTTCATCCTCGTATTCTTCACACGATTCTGGTGTTTCAATGCCTGTGACAATTCCTATAACGTCTTCGTCAGTTAGTTTTCTCCAAGTAAATGATTATCTATCTCGGCAATCTTCAATTCTTTCTTTTGTCTTTTTGGCTTACGGTTTATTATGAAAATGAATTCAAAGAGAGAATTGAGTTTTATAAGCTGATGAGATTCTTCGGATTAACGAGGAATTTTTATATGACAAGTTTTTCGCAACTGCCTTCGGATTGCGGATTACAGAGATTTATTATAAAAATTCGGATAAACGAGGTAAATTTCTTATTAATAAATTGGGACCAGAATATTTCTTCGGATTAACGAGGAATTCGGATTAACGAGGTTCGGATTGACAATGTTGACTATGTAGTCAGATTTTAATAATTCTAAAACTAGGATTAAAGTTATAACGCTTTCTTCATTTTTGAGATTTATAACTTATAACTCTTTTATTTTCAATATACCAGCAAATGAAGCACAAATATATTTAGAGCACGTAGAAAAGAGCATAAGTTATCAGCGCGGAAAAGAGTATAAAAATTTTTCTTTAAAAGCAATTAAAGTTAGATTAGTATTAAATTTAATCTACTCGATATTTATAGCACTTTTATTAGCAATATTTTTGTCAAGAAGACCAGACAATTACAAAGTGATCAAAATGATTCTATTTGATAAAAATAATTTATTTATCTTACCCTCTTTCCTAAGGGAAACCTAATTCTCTTTCACACCTAAAGTTTAATCCAGAAAAAAAGAGAAAGGGATGGTTAGAATTGTTTTGTACTCATCCACCTTTAGAAGAAAGAATTAAGAGGTTAGAAAGATTACGAAAAAGAAGGCTTGCAAATAAAACCAACACTAATGAAATCAAAACACTTGAAAATCCTATGTTAATGTGGACTGATGGCCAACTTATTTAGTCCTTGGAATAAGCCTCGCTTACTTCGCGCTATATCCTTCTTTTTTTAAATATTTAATGTTTGGTGATATAATTCTCCAATCAAATAAAACCTAACAATTAGTTGATATTTATCATCTGGCTGACCTTCGAGATAAAGAAAAGGAACTAAAGAAAGGAAAAATTCCTTCTTGAAGTTTAGAAGAAAAATAATTAAAAAAAAAAATAAATAAATAAAGTCCTATTGTCAAAAAATATTCTCCCAGAGTAGAACAATCATCTTTAATGTTCTTACACAGATACCTATCGTAGAAAAGTCTTATGTGAATTGCGGGCTAGAAATATTTTTTTCATGCAACGAAATAAGAAAAAGCTACATTCTGTGTAACTTGAAACGGCTTGAAATGTGACATCGTTACGGTTGTACTTGCACTAAAGTAACTGGTAACAACATGATTAATAATTATTGAGCATTCTTCGTCGGCCCAGCGCAACTTATCCTTGATAGTTGAGAAGTTATACAAATAAGTCATTTGGTTTTTTTTAGTTCATAATATTATTGATTTATTGTTTATTTTAATACTAGTTTAAAAGTCGTTGTTGATAATTCAAGAATCCTCTATGGCAATCTGCATAGCAAATCCGCCTGACAATAAAAAGCTGGACTCAGTTCGCAGTCAAATAAACCATTCGACGCGCCAGGAATAAATAGCAAGTCTGATTTCCATTCGAAAAATGAAGGGAACTATGGGAGAACTGATAATTGCGAATTCGCGTCATTATTAAGAATGTGAATGTAGGGTTGTGAATTATCATTCGATCTTCGACCAGTAGTTTGCGCGCGACCAAAGAGGTATATTACGCGGAGTAGAGATTGACCATTACACACTGTCCAAAATACCCTCATTCTACTTTACTGTTAATTGATTGCAAGAAAATACGAAGCTCATATTGTGTTTTATTGAGTGCCTAATGTCTAGTTCCTTTCAAATCGTATAAGAGAAGCAATGAAATGCATTGTGTGTTGCCAGATTCAGAACCGAGCATGTCAATCACAATCGCCTTCACTAGTAATTGAGCTACAATATAAGCTGAGTGTATTCGAAGAAAACCAATAATTATAAATACATACCTCCGTTCAATAATATCAACCTTAACAAAGATCGTGACAACGATCATTGAACTTAGAATAAGGACATTCCTCATTGCTGCTAGCATATATGCCGGATATTGTGATAAACATACCAGAAGCCAATGTTGCTTATGTTTCTGTTTGGCCATCTGTTGCAGCACAAACGATTACAGGCTGCAGAATTTGCCACATGTTGATATTTCAGCGGATAATTTGAGGGCTGTTTGCCCATATCTTGAGGTTTGTAGTCCTGATTGGAAAAGATAAATGAGAATTACTCGTGACGATTTGTGGAGAAACAATGACAGGTGCAGGTCATACTCACAGGTTTCGAACGATTAATGTTGAAAAATGCAGGCCACACTCATGATGACGTTGAGAAGCTAATGGAAGATATGTGACATGTTAGAATTTATAATCAAGTTCCATCAGTAACAATAGAATTGTGTTAAAAGATCTCTAGATCTGGGTTTTCGTACCAGTCCTCCACTTATAAGCCCATCAGTTATGCATCCCAGCCCAAGCAAGCGTGGCTATAAAAGTCAATTAGTCAAGTAAATAACGAATTTATGCGACTGATTCATGTATATATATCAAGCACTTACTTTGAAAAGTTTCCATAGCGTCAACACCCGTAGATAAACGCTCGTCCCAAAATTGTGCTGATCTGTAGAGCACGTGATAGTTTATAAAGATTCCTCATGAGCTCTTGCCTGAATTTCAAATTCATTTTTTCAATCAGTTCTTACCCTCAGACGTCTGGATTGATTGCTACAGCATTCAGCACGATTATAGAGGTTTGCCTCGATCAGAACCTTAAAACGAACGAACGTCTTTTCCAATGCTACAATGAAAAATACGAGCAGAGTTGTGAACTTTAGGTATTATGGTCATGAACAGTATGATTGAATCCAATCCTCTAACATTTGTCGCTCAATAACGTGACAATGACCTTTACGTTATTACCACCTAGGCGCGCTGTTTATGTATGGGTCGCTCTCATCAACTACCTCCCCTATCAGATTTGGCTATCGAAGTAACTAAAATTAGCAATCACTGTAGGGGAGGTAGAGGGGAGGTAATTTACGTACCATAAATAGTAATTGACAGTTTGTCTCTACTACATCGATACCAGTTAACTGTTGTTAATATTTTATTAAATATGTTGATAATGTTTATATTAATTAATAATTAGATTTACCATCCCGACTGCCAATCTCTATAATTACACACTCGTAATTCGGGCACCAAACGATCCAGACTCGGATTATCTATTGGAGATATAAGTTAAAGGTGGAGGGGCTGAGGGAAGATTTGGTATGTTGGCTGAAATTCTCTTAGTTCTGTAGATGAATGACAAGAAAGTTTAATGGATCTTTAATAGATTCGAATAACTCGGTTGCTGCCGATAACTACACTCTATTGCGACCATATCCCCTCGTCTATTCCCTCCTGTCTCTCGAGTTTATGCTTCTTTTATCATCCCCTTTCTTCTCCCCATCGGCCGAGCAACTTAATGACTCAGATCCACATTACGATCTCCAAAGCTCTAAAATGCGAACAGCACACTGCCTCGATGCAGCATAACATGCTACAACTACCCTGAACGTTTGACACACGTGATGAAGAGCGATGATGATGATACGGATAAAGTATACCGGTTGTTATAATAGTGAATCACGGTCCGTATCAACTGAAGATTAAGAGAGTTGGGATGGCTAATATGTTGATGTTTGATATACGAATATTTGTGTGTTCCTATGATGTTATAATGAGAGGAAAGCGAACAGTTGAGCAGACATCATTTGTATGTCATCATCCTGCTATAACAATTTGATAAAGCGGTAGTTTTGATTCAATTCCCGACCAGTCTATTTCATTTTCCGAGCGATACTAAAAAAGAGTGTGTTGAAACAAATGAGTAGAATCGCTGTTCATCTTTGAATACTCAATATTTGGGGGGGTTATAGCTTTTATTATATAAAAAGAGTATGCTTGCAAATAACTTCCCCCAATATCAAAGGGACCATTCGCTACTATTAATATTTATACAATTTTGAAAATGAATTTTAGAAAATATTGTTCTACATAAAAAGAATATGCTTGCAAATAACCCCTCCGCGTGTCGTCTAGTTGGTGTTAAATATGACCAAAACCAGACGTTAAATACATGTTTTCAAGCCGGCTGTTGGCTAGTCAATTTTTTTTTTGTTTTTTAAGCCGCCTCAATTATCAAGACGTTAAATACATGTTTATTTAAAAAAAATTGGTTTTTTTTAGGTCTCTATAACTATAATAAACCCACCCAACTATCAAGCGCGTCGTCCGGTGGAAAACCGGACGTTAAATACATGTTTATTTAAAATTTTTTGTTTTTTTAGACCTCTATAACTATAATAAACCCACCCAACTATCAAGCGCGTCGTCCGGCGGAAAACCGGACGTTAAATACATATTTATTTAAAAATTTTGGTTTTTTTGAGGCCTCCATAACTACAATAAACCCACCCAACTATCAAGCGCGTCGTCCGGCGGAAAACCGGACGTTAAATACATATTTATTAAAAACAATTGTTTTTTGCCTCTTTTTTGAAATTATAATAAACCCCCCACTATCAACCGCGTCGTCTAGTGTGGCCGTTAAATATGACCAAAACCAGACGTTAAATACATGTTTATTAAAAAAAAATTGTTCTTGTTTTTTTAAATTTAAAAAATTTTTTCTAAAAATGTAAAAAAAACCCCCCCGAAAAAATGTTTAGTTTTGCCACTATTCGAGTGACCAGAGAGCAACGTGGAGGGGAACAGATATTGGTGGTGTTGCCTATGGTAGATGGCCGGGCAGACGGTGTGATGGCAGACTTGTGGTGGTAGACGTTGGAGGTGCCCGGCATGATTGCTGACAGGCCCGACAAAATCCAAGATCGTTGGAGCGGCAGGATTGTAGTTGTCGCTATTTTCGTTTTTTTGGGGCCGCTCCGTTTTATTTTAAAAAAATTAATTGTGACAATCTTGTCTGCCACGCTTGTTAAATTATTTTTAAAAGAGGATTTTATTATTCCAGTTTTATGACTTTTAAACCGGTTGAAAAACTTTGGGTATTTTTGTATGCAACAGTTGTTATGTCTGTGAAGTTTTGATAGAGACATGATGTTCAAAAGACTGTAAATGGGGTGCTTTATATAACCGTAGGATTCTGCGAAATGTCTCTCTCCCAAACTAGTATTTACTGCAAGAGATCATGCAGATATCTAAGCCACTTTAATAACATATATTGTTCTTTATTGTAATTTCAAACTTTATTTGGATATACAAACGCAATTACAGCGCGTAATTGTTGTAGAACATTCTGTGCTGTATCACACATCAACAGTCAGTTGGCGTTGTAGACAATAACGGAAAGATAAGCAAGGCTAGACCTGTTTATTTGTTCATTGAAAATTTTACGGAAAAAGGGAAACACACGAACAATGAACGCAATTATTGTAGAACATTATTTGCTGTATCACGAATCTTCCCCATCAAAAATCAGTTGGCGTTGTAGAAAATAACGGAAAGATGCACAAGGTCAAACCTGTTCGTTTGTTCATTGAAAAAATTACGGAAAAAGGGAAATACACGAACAATGAACGCAATTATTGTATAACATTCTTTGTTGTATCATGCATCTTCCCCATCAACAATCAGTTGGCGTTGTAGAAATAACGGAAAGGTGCACAAGGTCAAACCTGTTCGTTTGTTCATTGAAAAAATTACGGAATAAGGGAAATACACGAACAATAAACGCAATTATTGTATAACATTCTTTGCTGTATCATGCATCTTCCCCATCAACAATCAGTTGGCGTTGTAGAAATAACGAAAAGGTGCACAAGGTCAAACCTGTTCATTTGTTTATTAATACACAAGCAATGAAACGCAATTGTTGTAGAACATTCTGTGCTGTATCACGCATCTTCTCTATCAACAGTCAGTTGGCGTTTTAGACAATAACAAAAAGATGAACAAGGTCAAACCTGTTTGCTTGTTCATTGAAAAAAAATACGGAAAAAGGTTAATACCCGAGCAATGAAACACAATTGTTGTAAACATTCTTTGCTGTATCACACATCTTCTCCATCAACAGTCAGTTGGCGTTTTAGAAAGATAAACAAGGTCGAACCTGTTCGTTTGTTTATTGAAAAAAGTACGGAAAAGGGGTATTCCAAAATTATAAGACTAGTTCTACAAAGAATACAAACGATTAATAATTGTAAGGTTCTCATTCCGAACCAATAGATAAGCAAAAAATTCAGGTTTATTATTCTGTTCTTGTAATATTTGGTATAAAGTACCGGTATTCTAAATTCTACATTAATTTATGTTGGGGTATTTGGTCAAATTGGAAACAAACGTATGCCAGATAACGCGCATGCATGTCTAATCTGTTCTGTTCAGAGGCAGTACACATAGTCTGGCTTTATGAATGATAAACACGTGCTTGTAACTAAAGATTACTTCTATAGTAATATCCATTTTATCATAATGATAAAGTATATGGACCATTCAATGCAATGGTCACTTGAGAATGACAAAGTACTTTTAATTCAGAACTTGTTGAACTGCAAAAATTAAAAACAGTATTGTTCCGTGATTACAACAAGTCATCCAACTGCGTATCATAAATTTCCGCCTCGACTGATTTACTGATAGTGAGCTGACATTCAGGACGTTTTTGGCAAAGTTTATGTGATTAATAGCTTACACAAGTCTACCTAATCGGTGACGAATAAACGGTGTCTATTTCTATGCATGATGACGACATTAAATATATTATGAATATTATGGGGTATCTTGACATTGATATGTCTAAAGTTTCGCAGGCTAAAATAATAATATGCAATCATACATACGTATTTTATACGTAAGTTTAATCTAAAAACTTATTATCAGGACTTGTTTAAAGATTATTATAGTTCCATGAGCATATGTATTATCTGTTGCATCTATCAAGCTTTTGTGTAATGTTCTGAGAATGCAACCATTTCTGGTATGAATGGGGTGTGTATGCCCCAAAATCACAAAAAAGAAACAACTCGCAGAACAGCGAAAAGTATATGCACGAGTGTATCAGCTGTTGCTTATCATACGCCCATAGAATGGAGAAATGAAACTCTATTATGATATTGTAAAATACGCTCGATGAACATTATGACATGTGTTAGGACCAATGTTCAGTATCTGACTATTAACCCATGTTATAATTAGTTGAGTACGCCTTTGCTATAAACAAGGCATGTCCTGTACAGGTTTATACAGTGTGTGTACAGTCCTTTCATCACATGTATTATATCCTGCATAATAAACAATAATATACAGTGAACATATACAACTGATGATCGTTACTATAATAACAAGCTTATCATGTAACATCTAATCTTTTGCTGTACTACTGCTAATTGTTAAGAAAATTTAGGTTGGGTAAAAATCCGAGGATAACGATAAGCCATTCAATCACTTGCACGAATTTCTCGAATGGGTTAAATGACTGTTCATATCAGACTGGGTATATCATACGTTGAATGCGCGTATTGCATTCTTGTGGATCCGTAACCTGATGTGTGTCGAGTTCAATAATTACAACTTATTATCGAGCATACTGTTGACATGTTATATAACCATAAACAACGCTTGTGCTATCTAAAACAATGCTTATCATATCCGCTATCGCTGATGAGCTGGTAAATTAAAAGGTCGGTGTTTGAATGAACCTAATATCTTTGCTACCAACAAACAAATAGGTACTGCATCAGACCGACTCGGGGAAGACAAAGAAAGTTCAACTATGGTAACTACGGGACTGTATACTGATTATGAGTGGTGAACATGCCAATGCTGGAAAGCACCAATACTTATGCGAATCTTCTTTAATTTGAACAATAAGTTATCAGAATAAGTTTTGTACGCATCAAATGGGAAATTTGACATATGGAGTAGTAGATATGCTATACTCTGTGTACCGATAGAAATTGTATTATATAGGCCTGGGGAGAGGAGTAGGTAATGGTCATCTAAGCTATGTTACAAGTGTAAGTAAGCATCTAAGAGCATTTAAGAGAAAAGTAAGTAACTTCTTTATTGTTTGATGTTATGTTTTTCCTACGTACAGTATACTTATATATTGTTTGTTATTTTTCAGTAAGCATTTAAGAACAATATTATGGTAAAAACTCTTGCGCTTTCATTTCTAAAAATTTCTAATTTATGATAATGCAGCTAATAATTATCCCATCGCTTGACAGGTTAACAAAATTTAACCATACCAATGTAATAAAACTAAAGTTCATTCTTATTTCGGATCGCTATGCGATCCATGAACTCCAAAGATTTCATAACTTCCATTGCTCCTTATAGTCCTTCTAGTTTATAGGTCGGACCCATAAGCAATGAGGATATTGAGAATATCTTTTTTCTCTTTTCTCTTTTCTTTTTCTTTTTCCTTTTCCTTTTGTCTTTTCCTATCATATAAATATCACATTTGAATAAATATATTATATCAGTGATCGATCACTATATTTTTACTTTTGGCTTATCAGTAGAAATCAATGTGATATGTAAGAAGAGTGGTGTTTGTCCATTTTATAATATATATATACTAATGCAGTATTTTCGCATGAATCTTATAAACGCATTATTGTTACACTGTCTCTTGAAATATCACCGGGAGAATGTTGATTGAAAATCAATCATGGGGCAGATGTGAATCCGAAAAAGTTGATCTACACGAAGATCAAAAAGTCTTTGTCTGCACCAATTTAATCCGTACATTATTAATATTAACGCCAATATTAATATAGTTTATAAGCATTTAACTATGTTAATTTACATTATTTACTATAAATGGGAATATTATTATTACCATAACTGTGATATAAATTAATAGTTATAGAGTTTTTGACTCTATACGAGTGCTACGATATAAGCCTTTGCTCAGCTCTGATATCTTTATCCACTGTTCGGTATGCTGCAGGTGTGGTAAGGCCCTCGTTTATTTTGGGGGCAGGGAAGGGGGTCTGAAACATATTAATATGGCGCAATACATTTAAAACAGAAATCACAGCAAAGCGACGAGTAACACCAAGTATGCAATATTTATTTCTCACATGTCATAAGTACACCTTCCCGACCCGACAATCTATGTTTTAATAATTTTTGCTCAAAGGCTGTGAGAGACTCGCATTTTTTTTGTTATTGGCATCGAACCATTGCAATCTTCCAATAGGGGTAAGCTATACTACATGGCTATCCGTAGGGTCCTCGCCATCATCCCTGTTATGCGGGTATCATGTATATTATCATGTATAGTTATGCAAGTCAAAAAAAAATTTTTTTACGCTAACCATTTGATTAATTCTACGCTCAGTATGTTCATCAAAGTCGTTAAAGCTTACGTTCCCCATTCGATATACTGAAAGGGGTGGGTTTTTTTTTCTCCCTCAAAGGCAGCAAATAAATCACAATTGGGTAAGGCGCATCAGATGCGAATGCTCAATGAACAAAAGGGGTCGAGACATGGAGTTTTGCGTTCTTTATTTGTTTACACCTACGATAGGGTAGAGACATGGCCATGGAAGATTGGTAAATATATTTTACACTCTCATGTTCCAGAAATCTGAACCTGTTACGAATTCTTTGATCTCACCTCGTCCATGACTGGTAAATATGTTATACCATTTTTTATACAATTGTCTTTTCAAACACATGGAGCTTGTAATAATCTTTCTTTAATCTCAGACGAGCCGCCGGATGGTTACATCTAATGGAGATGGAGTTATGGGGAATAAATTTTTAAAGTCTAAAATGTCAACTTGTTGTTTGTACAATATCCGGAAAAAATATTGGCATATATGATGCTGGATTGATGACGCACATTATGTAGAGAATTAATTGCCCCTTAATTATAGTATCAACACTATCCCATTCGATCCAATAATCTAAAGTCTAAGCTTAACTCGTATTATATCGTGAACCAGATGTTCTTTAATCGTTCAGTAGAGCAGCATATCCGATTGCATTATGGTATTCCCGTCGATGACACATATATCAATGCAACGACTACAAATATACGTATGTACGTTAGTCAACAGAAATATACCGGCAACTGTTGGGTCTTGATACAATTACCACCACGAATCACGACTCATGTCCACCATCATCCTAAAGGTGCAACTAATAAATGAACGCAAAAATCCACCATCATCCTAACACTCTGTTTTACTCACCTGAAATGAAACTCAAATGAGCCACCATTGACTCGCTCTGTCATAAGATCTTTGATTCCACTGAGTACCATTATTTCGACTAACATTTTCTCCCGCACGAAGCTAGCTTATAGAAGATCAAAATCTACGCCCAAATATTGCCCATCTATCCAATCTTCCTTTTCTAAATTGTCGAGACGATCAGGTTGAATCCACCGAAGACATAGTTGTATTTGTTCACGTGCTCTTCTGTAGGTATTACCAGTCGTCCAACCTTCCATTGAATATTTCCGATCACATCTCCCGCAGTGGAACAAAAGCCATTTGACACCAACGTATATGCGTCTGTAGCCTCGATACGCGATATTTCGAAGAGTGTAAGTTTTCTGCTGCAGCTGGCACATTGGGAAGCAACAATGACCCTTCCTTCACTAAATAAGCAAAAGAACAACTTGTTATCAAGAATGGTGTCGGATAAAGTCATAATATCGCCGTGATTTAAGTAATTACCTCACATATAAATTTTTCTTCAGATTGATCGCTCACTGTAAAAAGACCTTCATAATTTAGACTTCCTTAAAAGACACATCAAGCCAATCTGCATAATACATTGTCCGAACTCCTTTGCAGACAACTTGGACCGATCAGGGACAATCCATTTGAGGCAAGGATACGGAATAGTATTATATTATCCACGTCCTCTTGGTTTCCAAGTATTTCGCCATATTTTCGTGCCGCTTGTCCATCCGGACATCTTACCATATCACACTATTAATGTTTAAAAACCAGCCAATTAAATCGTCATAACACCACTCCCAATCAAAGATAGATATCTTTCAACTTCAACAGTATATAAAAATGGTCGCATAGAATTGCAGAAAGCTTGTCAGGAAACACAATTCATCGACTGAGAACATAAATTTTCGCCGCATCTTAGTATTCTCTCTTATCTCCGATGCAAGCAGTTTCATCTTAACCGTACCCTCTGTGCCACTGAAGAACGATTACGTTGATTCCTAGAATTTATTTCCCAGCCCAACCGCTTCCCGGTATAAATGTACATGATCCACATTCTCATGTCCCTTTGAGACACATGACCGAAAACTCATCAACGTCTCTCGAATAATAATGTCGACTTCTTCATTGCTGCTAGTCCCAACTGAACATTGACCGTTTTGGATCACATTCTTGGCATCAAAACTGCCAGACCAATAACCGGAGAAAATGCGTCCACAACCCAAATTCATTGGAACCCTCAAGGTTTCAATTCGTTTGCCAGTTCAGTATTAAACCTTCATTTATTTGCTTCAAGTGTGCATTCCTTCAGTTAATTAAAAGAAAGGTTATCCTACAAGCCGAACTATAATGCATGGCGCCAAAAGTCGAATAAATACCTCTTTCAAAAAGTTTCCATCAGCATGGTCAGACGTTTTGGAAATGTTTGACGATGACGCGGAAGGCCCAATTATGGATGACGTATTATTTACTATTCGTTTTTCTTCACCATCAGTAGTTGACGGTGGTGAGTCTGCTTGTAATTGTTGTCAGTGGTGAGATTGTTGGTAGTTACTCTTCACGCGTTTAGATTGACCGTCACCAAATCAGCTGCATCGATCGTGTTTTGAGCCGATTCCAGGAATACCTCGACGACAATGATATCCGTGCCAGTTTCTACTATATCACTTTTCTTGTGACTCACGTATATTCCAAATTTCCACTTGCCCATCTCCCGTTCACTTGTCACTGTCTGTGCATCAAGCATTGTCGTGATACCACAAGAACGACAAGACATGACGACTCACGAGCGCCAATTCACTTGAAGTCTTGATAGGCCAAAACTCTTGTTTCATAGGTTCCCATTCTTCCATATCTAAGAGTCGTTTAAATTCGGGATCCTTCATCCACTTTTATTTTTGAAGCGTCGACTAAAATATTGCTGAAGCTTGCGTACAAATAATTCAGCTGTGATTCAGGTATAATGTAAGTAAAGAGGAAAAAAGAGATAAAAAATGAAGAAAAGAAGATGGTGCAGTTGTATACATACTTGCGACATGGTCTCTTGATTTGTTACAATCAGAACCTAGAATGATACTTTCCACCATTAAACTCAGCTTTGACCAAAACCATTCAGTCGTATAAAGTTTGCGGTTCTGATCTCCCACAAGGTCTTCAAGACGTGCATTGAAGATAGGTAGTAATATGCTGATCCGTCCTTCGTATGATAGTCTTATCGTAATCACCATTGCCACTGTCCAGCCTTCGCGCATGGTATAAAAACCGCATGCCAGAAACTACTTTCCACTGGAATCTGACTTGGAAACCCCAAGATTTCAGTTGCCAATTTTTGAGAGCTGCTTGAAGTATTGAGATAATTGAAACAAAGGTTATCCTACAAGTCGAACTATAATGCACAGCACCAAATATCGAAGAAAATAAATACCTTTTCCCATCACTATTGTCAGGCGCTCTTGGAAAAAGTGTGACGATTATACGGCAGGCTCAATTATGGATGAGGTATTTGTTGTCCACATCTCCTTCATCAGTAATATGTTAATATTGACCATAAACAAAATCAGCTGCGACAATCGTGTTTCGAAGGCCGATTCCAGGAAGACAGTGGTATCATGCCAGTTTCCATTATGTCCATTCTCTTATATAATTTTATCATATTCCCTGCTTCTAGTCAGTCTTTGCACAAGGCATTATCGTCTGGGTAGAAAACACCACAAGAGCGACGACTCACGAAGGCCAATTCACTCATCAAGTCTTGTTAGGCCATTTAGTAGGTTTCCATTCTTCCATATCCAAGACTTATTTTTGAAGCGTCAACTCTATTCCACGTAAATACTTGCTAAAAATTTCCGTACAGTAATTCAGCTGCGATTCAGGTATAATGTAAGTAAAGAAATGTAAGGCAGAAAAGAAGATGGCGCTGTGATACATATTTCTTGCACGTGCAAGGACCTTGGCTGATACTTCATAGTTTTCCGCGACTAACAACTTTTTGCTCGTCATCAAACTCAGCTTTGACTGAAACCACTCAGCCGTATAAAGCTCGCCAAACTTGCTGGTTCTGATCTCCCACAAGATTTTCAAGACGTACATTGAAGACTAGGCTGATCCGTCCTTCGCATGATAATCTTATCGTAATCACCATTGCCACTGGTGCACGTCAGAAACTACTCTCTACCGGAATCCAACTTGGAAACCCTCAAGGTTTCAGTTTGATTGCCATTTTATATTGATTTTTGAAAGTTTGCTTCAAGTACTGCTGCGTATTCCTTCAGCTAATTGAAAGAAAGGTTATCATACAAGTCGAACTATAATGCACAGCACCAAACATCGAATAAAGTACCTCTCGAACCATCATTACCAAGCGTCCGTGGAAAAAGTGTGCCGATTGGCCCAATTATGGATGACGTATTTGCTGTCGAGCATCTTCACCATCAGTAATACGTTCGTAGTGACCGAAACAAAATCAGCTGCGACAATCGCGTTTCGAAGCCGATTCCAGGAAATCCATCGTATCCATGCCAGTTTCCATTATGTCCATCCTTTCTAGTCACAGTAAAAACGACAAGGCACGATGACTCACAAAGGCCAATTCCTCATCAAGCTTTGTTGACCAAAATTCTTGCTTCATGGGTTCCCATTCTTCCACAACCAAGGATCGTTTAAGCTCGGGATCCTCCATCTACTTCTATTTTGAAGCGTCAACCTATTCCACGAAAACACTTGCTGAAGCTTGCGGTTCAGCTGCGATTCAGAGATAATGTAAGTAAAGAGAAAAAAGAAAGAGAAGGAAAGGAAGAAAAGAAGATGACGGTACACATACTTTCTGCAACGTAGTCTTATTGGCGTCGTCTTGATTGGTTATAGCAAAAACCTTGACTGACACTTTCATAGCATTCCGCGCTAACAACTCTTTGCTCGTCAGCTTTGACCGAAACCATTCAGCCGGCCAAGCGTGCCATTTTCCGACTTCCCAAGGGTTTCAAGACGCGCAGACGGTATCCATAGAGAAGACTAGGGTAATAATATGCTAATTCGCGTCGCGTCAAACCAAGCATCGGTAACCGCGGTTTAATACTTACGGGTGAGACTGGTAGTTTTCCAATGATCAACAATTTTCAAGGGGAATCATTACTAAATATATCAATGATACACTCATAAATCTAAAAATCGTATCTTATGACATATTTTTTGACAGCAAGTTCTGCCTGGGAAGAGTTTCCTTCAAACCATTCCAAGTGTAATTGCAATGTTGCCGTGTATATCTCTTAACAGCGCCCCAATATTAAATTTGCCCAAAAAGGTTGTTTCAAATTTCGGTTAATCATAAAAACTAAATATAAATTAATCGAACTTTGAAAAGTTATATCTCAAGCCACAGTTAATCTTTGTCAAATTTCTAAACGTCAATCGTTAATGTAACAAATTGACGGGTTTAAAATTTGAATTATTAATACAGAAATGCTAGACAGGGGCGCATTGTATGCTAGTCGAAAGTAGATTGTTCACTTTATTATAATATTATTTCGATCAATGCTATTAAAAGTATTATTTGCATTAATCACGTTTTACATGCTTTCCGAAATATAGTAATGGTTTTCGTCTTAACCGCGCCTTGAATGCCGAATTGAATAATAGTATGTCACATCCTTCTCAAGTTGGTGGCTGTAACTAATTATGGTGCGGGTGCTTGCCGATCTACCCCTTATGTACGTGTCAACTTTCAGACGTGGCCCGTGGCCTGGTTGACTCTATTCTAAATAGCACAAAAAAAAATTTACTTGCTCATTAATAATGACATACATACGTATCACCCAATCGCTATCTCTCCGAAACCTTCGTATGGAAATGGACATCGATGAAACGGGGTGCTGCCTATGGGTAGCGTGGATGGATTAAAGCCTTCGCATCATTTCACCATGTTAAATATGTTCCCGGGCTTCCACATTCCAATGTTAGTAGAGAAAGACTTTTCGACTGATTACGGTAAAGGATATTCATGAATTTGTGATTATGGTTTCATGGACGCAAACCAATC